TTTCCATAGCTTCCTGCAGCAGGGTGTCAGACAGGCACACTAATGGCAGAAGGCAGAGTAGGGTTGCACCTTATGGACTAACTGAATCAGAGATGCATAAGCTTTTGCAAGCAACAGCTCATGTCATCAAATGCCATGAAAGGAAAAGTACATTCGTATGTTAAAATAAAATGAACCAAAAAATCCCCACACATAGATGTCTAATTTTTCATGTTGTCAGCAACAGAAGTTCAATTTTTCTTTCTTGATAAAGTTTTGCAGATGAACTAAACTGGGTCCAAACCATATGGATTTCCTTTTTAGTCTAAAGTCTTTTCTATGCCAAAAAGCATTTTTCTGTCCTGGCTTTGCACCTTAGAAAATTCTCATTGACATCTCAGTGGTTCTCGAATTCTTTCCCTGCTCCTCTCTTTCAAAATCTAAGGCTATGCAGTAGGCCTGTGCGAAGTGGCTAGTATTCACTTCGGATTTGGCCCACTTGGGGGACAGTGATTTGATTCAGTGATTCTAATCACTGTCCTGATTTGATTCGGCTGAATATGATTTGGAGATTCGGCTGCTGCTGAATCTCCGAATTAGCCAAGCCAGGCCCATCACCCGCCCCCTCCCAGCCCCATAATGGCTGCCCCACCTGTCCCAGCTCCAGGCACTTGATAAAAAAAATAGCTGCAACTCAGCAGGTGCTGCAGGGTGGGGAAGCAATCCCTGCTGCCTCCCACTGTCCCATGCTGCATGGGGGGCTCTGCATGAGCCCCACAACCCTCCCTTGCTCCCGCAGCCCCCTTACGGGTGCCCTGCCCAGGCCAGCTCCAGCCCTTTAAGAAAAAAAAAACCCCAAACCCCAGACTGGTGGCTCCTGCCAGTGGAGGGGCAATCTCCACTGCCCCCCATGCCATGTGTGGGGTTCTGCATGAGCCCCCAAAGCCCCAAGGCCACTGCAGAAGCAGTGAGTCCCAGGGCTTTTCTCCATTTTTTTTTCCTTAAAGGGCCAGAGCTGGCCTGGGCGGGGCACCCATGGTGGGGCCGGGGGAGCAGAGAGGGGTCGGGGGGCTTGTAGCAGACCCTCCCATGCAGCATGGGGCAGTGGGGGTAGCAGGTATCTCCCCCCACCCAGCAACACCTGGTAAGCACTGGGGCTTTTTTTTAAAGTACTGAGCTGGGGCAGGCAGTGCAGTTATGGTGAGGCTGGAGGAGTGGGGGGTGTCAGGAGGGCTGGCAGGGGTCCCCCCATGGTCCCCTCTCCTAGCACCCCTTCCCCTGTCCCTAGGACTTACCAGCTACCGGGGACTGCCCGAATCATCAAAGTTCTCCAAATCTTTTCCAAAGATTCAGAGATCTTTGAATCAATTCGATCTTTGATCGATTTGGTCCCCTGATTTGATTCAGATTCAAAGATCTGGCCACCGAATCGGTCTGAATCTCCTCCAAATCGAATCACCACCTGAAGCTTCCCACAGCCCTACTATGCAGCTTCTTTTAGGTTAAGAGTATGTACTTCCTTTGGTATCTCTGATTGAAGGAAGTCCAAAAGAATTCATGGACTGGAGAGAGGAATTATCTCTTTTCTAACAGATACTACCATACTTACAGAGCCTCTACAACAGGGTTAATAGCAGAAACAAGGTAAGGGAAGGTCATTAACAGATGCAATTCAGATTTACAAAGACAAGATTTAGGGCTTGCCAAATTGCTGACTGCTAGGAAAATGGTATTTGTCATCAGTTTGGTAGAAGTGACGGGTACAAAATGTTGAGGTTAAATATAAAAATATTTTTAATTGGTTATGTCTCATATCTATTTCATGACTCCTTTCAAATGACTACTTCAAACTGAATTGAATTTCCTAGTTGGACAAAGCTACAAATTCTGAAAGACAAAAAATGGAAGCCATTCTATTTGTTGAATTTTCCAAACATAAAGACTAGATTTCCTGTTATTTTATTTATTTAAAATTTATTAGTGGATTTTTTTTAATTGTAATAATGCAATAAGACAATAATATAAGCTGGTGCATTCACTTGTTCCAGAACAAGGCAGAAGTGCACCTTCAGCATGACTTCTTAGCTCAGTAATTTCAAAAATCAAGAGCTAAAGACCCAGTCATCTACCAAACCAACAAGGTTGGGGACAGACATTCAAAAAACCTGAGCCAGAATTGATTCAATCTTTGTAGGGTAGTCTAACCTAGCTAGGCTGAACTGGTTTGTAACTGGACAGACATTTTTTCTGGACTGAAGAAATTCAGGCACGTCTGCAGTGGCTTAGGCTAGAAGCTGGGAGGTTCTAGAGCAGCCCTCCCTTCCTTCCACAGTGCTAAGCTGAGGGGGCACGTGGCTAGGCCCTGGTAGGACCTCTGATTAGGGAGGTCTGCCTGCATCATCCCAGGCTTTTCCCTGCTAGCTGCTCAAGGGGTGGGAGTGTTGCCAGCCCCCAGGCCCTGCTAGCACTCCGAGGCAAGGAGGGGAAGCCGGGGGGAGAGTGTAGTGCATGTATCTGTTGATGATACAGAGCTTTTCAATCTCCTTCCCTGCTTCTTTATACTGTCTGCAGCAAACTGACCGGCAAGCAAGCCAGCAGGGGGTGGATAACAGTGTTTATCACCCCATCAGCAAAACAATAGCCTCTCTCCATTAGTTCAAACTCTTCTTAAACAGCTTAACAACTAACCTGTTGATTAGTAGGCCTGTGCGAAGCAGCAAGTATTCACTTTGGATTCAGATTCAGCCAATTCGGGGGGACATTGATTCAATTCAGCTGAATAGCGTCTGAAAACTCAGCTCCGCTTTGGAGATTCAGCCATAGTCGAAACAGGCAGCAGTCCTCACCACGCTGGACACAGCTGCCTCCAGCTGGTAAGTCTGTTGTGGTGGGCAGAGGGAGGAGGGAAGGGGCGTGGTGGGTGGGCAGATAAATGCAAGGGAAGGATTGGGGCTGGGAGAAGCTGCCCAGCCAGGGCAGGGGGGAGGCGCAGGATGTGAGCACAGCAGCGCTGAGAGCAGGGGCTATGCTCTGCTGTGTCTTGCCCCCTTTTGCCCAGAGCAAGTCGTTCCTGCATCATGCCCCCTCGGCCCAGGCTGTGCAAGTAGAGCAGGGCATAGCCCCCGCTCTCAGTGCTGCCACACCTGCATCCCCTAGTTCTGCGCCCCCCACCTTGGCTGGGCAGCTCATCCCAGCCCCAATCCCTCCCTAGCTCTGGGGGCATTGATCAGCCCCCTCCCCATGCTCCTTCCCTCCCCTTTATGCCTACCACAACAGACTTACCAGCTGGAGGCAGCTGTGTCCAGCGTGGTGAGGGCTGCTGCCTGTTTAGTCTGTGGCCAAATCTCCAAAGCGGTGCTGAATCTTTTCCGAATTGATTCAACAAGAAGGCTTCCAATTCGATTTGGACCTCTTAATTGGTCTCCTGATTCGATTCAGATTCAGAGATTCAGTTGCCGAATCAGGCTGAATCTCCTCTGAATTGAATTGGCTACTGAAGCTTCACACAGCCTTATTGATTAGCTCCAAAAAGCCCTAAGCAGTCACTCTTCTGTCTGCCTTTCCCAGTGAAATTGGAGATGCACACAAACACCTCTTGGCATTAGCTTGCATACCATATGCCTAGGGTCTGTGGGGGTAGGGTCCGTGCTGTGCAAGGAGGAAGGGAGGATTCCTGCTTGAACAGCGAGATGGAGGTAGGGCGGGGTGAAGTCTGGGAGCAGTCTCGGCCGGAGCTCCAGCCAGGGAGCAGAGGGGAGGATCCAGCCCTGTTGTGGAACAGAGACCCCTGCCCAGCCCAAAGAAGATGCCAGGATGCTGGAGGTGTCTGGCTTATTTTAAACCAGCAAAGCATCTGGGACAGACATTGCATAAACTGGTTTGAGCCAAATCAGTTAAGTCTGATACTATATTCAATCAGGTTTATCTCAAACCAGTTTCAGCCATTTCCAAACTGGTTTATGTGCACTGAACATCTGTTCTATTACAGGTTTAAACCAGTTTCTGATCACTTAAACCAGTTTATGTGTAATGTTTATCCCTAGCCCAAAAGTGATATGGCAGAGAGACTCACCCAAAGGACAAAGAATACTTCTGTGTGTTTTGACGGGTTGTTGATGTTCTGCTTTCCATGCAGAACATATAAAACAGGGTCAGAAAGGCCAGGTTCCATTTGATGCTCCTAACAGTCCCCACAGTATCATGCCATAGTTTTAACCTGCTAACAGGCTCATTAGGCTACAACTTTTCTATATTATTATTGAATGTGCTTCTTCATATTATTGTTTTTTAAGTTCTTTTCCTGTTAAGGACCTTGATTGAATACCTCACATTCATTGTTACTTTTTATAGTTCAATGCAGTTGCATTTTATCTCTGTTTTGACATGTGTTTATGGGACGAGGCTCCATCTTGTACACAGAAGGCCTGTTTGAATGTTATCAGCCATGAATATTACAGCCTACCTCACCCTCCATAAAATATATGGAGGGCATTACTTTTCTTTAAACTGAAAAATTCATTAACGCAATAATGATCATTTAAAAAAAAGTAGAAACCTTCAGTTTTCAGTTTGATACATTCCAAACTGGCTATCAAAATGTGCAAATAGTTGTTTAAACAGGCAAAACCAGTATCCACTATTTCTGAACAGTGCTCTTATGCCATTAGTTATCTAATGCTCTTACAAAGAAAATTGACTTATAAAGTAAACTCCTGTTTTTGGTTGCGGCATTGCATATTCTGAAACGTTTGTTCTCCTTCCAGAAATAAGCAGTTTTTCCACTGAATATTTATGAATATATTGGTTGGCTTCTGAGACCTTCAATTCTTGTTTTACTTCCACCAATTTCTTCCTCCTTCTTTTAGAATGGATTCTTACATCCTTGATCAGCCTTGAATAACACTTTACTCCCAGAAGTAGCCCTCTTGATGGCACTAGGGATATTCATGTCATGTTTAATTATTATCTGTTTTTATCACCACCACCTGAAGAAACCATTAGCCTCTTTTTTTCCTTTTCAGTTTCTGCCACAGAGGTCGCTTTCCACCAACCCAGACTGCATGACTCCACATGGGACTATCTTGCATCACACCCTGGATTTTGATGAGTTCATACCGCCAATACCACCCCCACCCTACTATCCTCCTGAATATACCTGCACTCCCCTGATAGAAGCACAGAGGTAATTCTTTGTCCCTGACCTTGTTACCTTATCACTGCTCTGGGCCCACAGAAATATGAATTATATTACACAAGCCACCCAGTAATGTTCTTCCTTTATAGTAGATGTCTCTTCCCAGGATGTGAGGCATAGATGTACACATTTCATAAATATGCTAGGTCACATTTTCCAATGTAACTTTGTTTATATAAGCACCAGTGTACAAAGATAGAGAAGGGAACTCAGAGAAAACAAGGATAACATGGTATGATCATAAAACAGGAATTCAGATTTGCAGGTAACTCCACCATAACTGTTTCTATTATACACAAAAGTTAAATGTAAGACTTAATCTTCTCAGGAAATTGCCTATAATTTAATGTTTCTTGCAGTGGAATATATGAGAGACATTGATGCTGATAGACTAGATTTGTCCAAAAATCAAATACAGTTTTTAAACGATCTAGTGAATTATGGCTTTTTATCACCTGTTTGATGAATGTCTTCAGTGGGTGCTATTCCACAGCACTTTTAAGATGGAGTGTGATGAGTGTGAAGGAGATTATATGATGTGGTGCCTGTGATAGTGGGAGACTGGACTTTCTGACTCAGGAGGTCCCTTCCAGTCCTGTGTTAATATGTACCTATGAATGCTTTGTTGTACGTTGGCCCTGAATTCAAAGAAATACTTTGGTTTTCTCCACCATTGTGGGAGCTGTTAGTTTTCCAGCTAAACTCCATGCATTTCCTGACAACTTAACATTTGTTTTTAACAGAAGTCTCCATTTGGACTTTCCTCATTCCCCCTTCAGTGCTTTATATGAAGTCAGCATTAATAGCCCAGGAATGCTATATCCAACTGAGCTACCCCCTCCATATGAGGCAGTGATTGGACAAACACCGGCTAGTCAGGTAAGGAAAACTGGAAGGGAATAGTGATACATTCTCTTTCCCAAGTGTTTTAATAGCAGCTAAAAGAATTTAGGAGATAATAAATAGTTCCTTGCACACACAGTGCAAATAAAATGTAATTTGAATTGTGCACATGGATAGTTTTCAGTCTACTCTCCTTAACTTAGAAAGGATTTTTTTCCTTTCCCAGTACTTGTGACTTTCACTTGTAATATTGCATTATCCTAACTTCTATTTGTATGCCTGAGAATATTGCATTTCAGTTAATGTCATCCATTATGCACACACATGCGTGTGCACACACACACACAAAACTTTGCTCTGAGAAGTTGATGACTGCATTGCCCACTTTTCTTTAATGTGCCCTAGCTGTGAGAGCAGTACAGTAGAAAATGAGATTTGATAGTCAAGAAAGTAATAAGATCTGTTACAAAATGCAACACTGCATGTGTGTCTATGCCATGCAGACCCATTAGATGCACAGTTTTAATGTCCTGGGATCTGCGCTTAGCTGAGTACAATTTTTTTCATAAAATTTGATGTAGTACTTTGAATTATAATCCTGCAAAAGCTACAGAGAACCCAAAATCACATAAGAAAAAAATCTTAAAAAAAAAACAAAACACTTACAATTGCCAGTTGGGATCAGTTCTCAAATTACATTCTGGACAAGCATTGACATATTCTTTGATGGCAAGGATTTTTGTCAATGAAATGCCCAGGTCTTGGCAGAAAGGCTTATGTCCTATGTCAAAACTAACACTCTGCCAGTTGTAACATGTAACTTTCCAGGAACAGACTCCAAGCTGGCAACAGACTATTTGGAACAGATTCCTAAATCTGTTACATTAAGTGGTAAGGAAGTATACATACACATAGCAATATATTGAATGGAAAGAAGTAGGGACATGTGTTCTGTAAGATAGCCACAAGTAGAATCTATGCTCCTTTGTAATTTTGCTGTTGTTTAAGCTTTTGGATGTTATTATTTTCAGTAGCTTCTGATGTATTATAGCAATAAGAATATTCTGTAGAGTCCTTAACAATTCCATTATGAGCTTTATCAAAAGATCCAGAACATCTCACGCTGAAAGTTTTCAGTTTTATTTTCTACCTTTTATTCCCTACCATGCAATCCCAAACCCAGTCAGGCTATCACCATTACAGTGTGATCAGCTGCCAGAGTATAACAACAGCTTCATGCCTATATTTAATTGCTTCAAGAATCTTTAATTTCCTCCTGGATTCAATAAAATCCCAAGGAAGGCTGATGAATGGAGTGCACTGACTATACCTCATCCAGACTTATTTGTGCATTTGCAGAGCTATAAGTGGACAGATGGTTCATATAAGTACCTATCTGTACTATGGCTGGCTGAGGAGGCTGTGTGAGAGAACAAATCACTTGTGATTTTTCTGACTCAGGGAAAACAGTGTATTGTGAAACATTAGATTAAAAAGCATACCTGCTCACCCTGTGCAAGGAAGGTTATCAAGGCAACTAAGTGCCCAGAGAAAGCAGACAATGGTAGGATCCATGGCACCAGGCAGAAAGATAAAATGGGTGAAAAGAGCCACACTACAATCCCTAACTTATAAAGCAGCCTCTGCCTTACATAATTCACTTCTACCTTAGAGAAGGCAGCAGCAGTCCAAATGTTGTGCCTCTGATTTACTCCCCTGCAGTAGAATGAGTCAATTTAAACTGCTTGGAAGTGAAGTTATTTGCTGCAGAGCAAAGTGGAAGTGTCTATACTGTCTCCTTTATAAAATGCTACTTACTGAAATTCAGTCCTGTGTTCTTTGCAGCAATGCAAATATGTCTGAAGGCCCTGGAATGTTTCATGATGTTCTTATATTTGTGTCTTGTCTCTAAATTTAAAAAATGGCAAAGCCAGTTTAAATCATATTCAGTAAAAAGGAAAAATTTGTTCTGAGCTGAGTATCTTTAAGCCACAGAAATGGAGGTTAAGCAAATAGAGTCTCCGTATATTAAAATAGAAAGAGGCCAGCCCATTACTCCCTGCAGTCTGACAATTATTGCAGATTGCAGTTTGCACAGGAATAGCTACCTCAGCAGCATGCCAGCACCCATGGATGACAAAAAGAAACTTACTTTATCTGGGTAGAAGATTAAAGTAGCAAAACCAGACCCCAGCTCATAGGCCAAGTTGCTCAAAAGCCTTTTCTGCAAATCTCTGAGAGATGAGTCAGTGTTAATGCACTGTCCAGTCATCTCTGGGCACCTCAGTTTCAATATTGGCTCTGGGCTCAAGTGAGTATGGGAATGGTAACTTTTAATTATTAAGTAACAATGATTATTAAAATCTCCTACTGGGTTCTTTATATACACTGTGTCCCTGACCCATTCTTGTCAGGTGAGCTCAGGACCAAGATAACAACAGATGTTGAAGAGCAGAAGTGAAGTGCATGGGCAGAGGCAAAACTTGTATAGCACTTCTGTGCTCCATATACTTCTGGTAAAAGCAGTGGCCCAAATTTGCGCTCCTTTTGGATCCAAAGTCAATAAAAATTCAAAGTCTGTGAGGGTATGTAGGGATAGTGAAGGGTTGTCATAGAAAATGAACCAAGAGTACAGCACAATACAAACTAAATTGACCAAATGTAGAAATCCCTCAAAGGCAGACATTCCAATGGAAATAATGGCAGAGATTTAGATACAGTAGAACTGATGGGACCCATTAAATAGCAATAATCATAAAGCCTTTTACTGAGCACGAGACATGATTTTTGTTTATTTTTGCATGGATTAAGGTCTATAGAATTTTATCGAATTATTTCAAATTAGATTTTCCATTCCTATCCAAGAAACATTTAAATGCCCACACTAACTTTAGAGATTGCTTCTAATACGATTTGCAGTTGTTTATCTGAGCTGACTGGTGAGACTATAATTCATTCCATTACCTTGAAAATGGTACTTTTCACACTGCTTTTCCAAGGACAATATCTGTTAGGATATGGAGACAGAGAAGAATTAAGGGACCCAATCTCTGGGTGAATTATGCAAGCAAATGTCTTGTAAGTCTTCATAGAATCATAGAAAATTAGGGTTGGAAGGGACCTCAGGAGGTCATCCAGTCCAACCCCTGAATACAAGACATTGTTCCTCAGAGAGACCTGATGAAGAATGTCATACAACAGGCTTATAAGGGGGGTGCCACTGTTGTCAGGGACAAAACAGTATATATACAAGAAGCCAAGAAACAGTTTTCCAACACAGTTTTACCAACTCCTGAATGAAACCACAGCACAACACCAGAATAGACTAAAATTCTTAACAAAGTTCCCTTTTGAAACACAGGAGAGGCTCCCAGCCTGTTCCCTGACCAGTTCCACAATCGCCACCTCTCCACAATTGTAGAACTGCAGCTAGGTAGAAGCTCCCCATCCCCTGCTCCACAATCACAATTAGGGAGTGGGGGCTAGGAGCTCCCTGCTTGTGGGGCACAGTTCTCACCTGGACTCCAGTGCCCCGGCATCAAGGAAGCTCCAAGGGGCAGAAAGCAATCTCCTGGCCTCTGCTGGTTGGCTGACTGGGAGCAAGTTTGCTCCTAGTTGGCCATCTACATGGGCCATATGGCACAGTAAGTATTTGTGAGTATTTAGAGGTAGCAAATTTACTTACAATTACTGCACAGTAACCATATGCACGTGTAAATGGTGACTCTTACTGTGCAGTAATTTGCTCTAACCTTGAGTAAAACGTCTCGTGTAGATGTGCCCTCTGAATCCTAACTCTACCCTCCAGTGTATCTGCTACTTCCCCCAGCTTGGTGTCATTTGCAACCTTGTGGAGGTGCACTCTATCCCATTGTTCACGTCATTGATGAAGATATTGAACAAAACCAGCCCCCACTTCAGCAAAAGAACAAAAGGGCTACTTAAAAGTATGCTCATGTTGTGCTAAAATGTGCTGAAGTTTCAAAAGTAAAATGCATCAATTCTGGATGAACTAAGTCTGTGGGTACCCATATTAATTAGCCTATATACCAGTTATTACAGGCATATTGATTTCAAAGTCATTTTTTTCAAATTTGTCTCTCATTCCCATGTTCTCAAGGAGAGCAGAGTCTGCCAGCAACGGGGAGAGAGGAAGAGTCTGCAGCAGGAAGAAGCGGGGGGGGGGGGGGGGGGGGGGGGGGGGGGTGGAATCTAAATTTTAACCTAAATATAATATCAATTATTCTCAAATGCTTGCCTTTTGGTTTGGATCCCTTATGATTTATGTTTTCAATGTTTTTATTGTCATAATGAAGATCAGAAACTTATGCTATTTTAAAGTAAAAAATTAGTTTTTACTCCCTGCTGTAGCAGTGGGAGGAGGACAAATTCAAGGCAAGCCTCCGATAATTAGATTCTGTACCTGAAAAATTATAACAAATTTATAAATTTTCTAAGTATACAATCTAATTACTGGGGGGGGGGTTGTCTTATGTTCAAGTAAATACAGTAATAACAAGGAGTACAACACCCAAGTTTCATTCACCTGCAACTCTGCTAATGCCATATATGCCATCACCTGTCTACAGTACACCTCTCCTGTCTACAGTGGACAGACAGGGAAATTTCTTTGTGTAAGAATGAATGAACACTGTTATAACATTGGCAGCAGAAAGACACAAAAGCCTGTGGCAGAACACTTCAATTTCCCTGGGTACTCCATGGCCAACCTCAGGAATGCTGTTCTCGGGCAGAAAATTTTTTAAAAAACGAACAACGACAACAAAAATGGTTTGAAGGGGAAATTACAGAAAAAGACATAATCCACAAAGTGGACTGTGTTAAGTACAGTTTAAACAGGGACTATGGATTTTTATTTCATTACCTGCATTAGCTTTTGTGACCCTCTTTGTTCCTATGGGTTTACTGCTTCTTTGCTTTTCTCTCCTTTTCTCCTTCTCTCTCTCTCCCCACCTCTCCTGCCCTCCCTTCTCCTCTCTGCCCCTCCCTGGCAGGTCTTTTGTATTCTAATTTAT